AAAAAAAAAGATCTGTACACTGAAAACTACAGAAAGCTGAATGAAGAAGTTGAAGAAGACACAAAAAAATGGAAAAAGATTCCATGCTCCATAGGAAGAACAAATATTGTTTAAATGCCGATACTGCCCAAAGTAATCTACATATGCAATGCAATCCCTGTGAAAATAACACCAACATTCTTCACAGAGCTAGAACAAACAATCCTAAAATTTGTATGGAACCAGAAAAGACCCCAAGTAGCCAAAGCAATCTTGAAAAAGAAAGCCAAAGCAGGAGGCATCACAATCCCGGACTTCAAGCTGTATCACAAAGCTGTCATCATCAAGACAGTACGGTACTGGCAGAAGAACAGACACCCAGATAATGGAACAGAATACAGAACCCAGAAATGGACCCACAGACGAATGGCCAACTGATCTTTGACAAAGCAGGAAAGAATATCCGATGGAATGAAGGCAGCGTCTTCAGCAAGGGGTGCTGGGAAAACTGGACAGAGACCTGCAGAAGAATGAACCTGGACCATTTTCTTACACCAGACACAAAAATAAACTCAAAATGGATGAAAGACCTCAATGTAAGACAGGAAGCCATCAGAATCCTCGAGGAGAAAGCAGGCAAAAACCTCTTTGATCTCGGCCGCAGCAACTTCTTACTCAACGCGTCTCCGGAGGCAAAGGAAACAAAAGCAAAAATGAACTATTGGGGGGCACCTGGGTGGCTCAGTCGGTTAAGCGTCTGACTTCAGCTCAGGTCATGCTCTCACGGTTCGTGGGTGTGAGCCCCACATCGGGCTCTGTGCTGACAGCTCAGAGCCTGGGGCCTGCTTCGGATTCTGTGTCTTCCTTCTCTCTGCCCCTCCCCCGCTGCATCTGTCTATTCTCTCTCTCTCCAAAATAAAAAAAAACATTAAAAAAAATTTTAATGAGTTATTGGGACCTCATCAAGATAAAAAGCTACTTACTGTACAGTGAAAGAAACAATCTGCAAAACTAAAAGGCAACCAGCAGAATGGGAGAAGATATTTGCAAATGCAATATTGGATAAAGGGTATACAAAATCCATCAAGAACTTGTCACACCCAACACCCAAAAACCAAACAATCAAGTGAAGAAATAAGCAAAAGACAGTAAGAAATGGTCAGAAGACATCCAGATGGCCAACAGACACATGAAAAGATGCTCCACATCACTCATCCTCAGGAAAATACACATCAAAACCACAATGAGATACCACCTGACACCCGTCAGAACGGCTGACATTAACAACTCAGGCAACAACAGATGTTGGCGAGGATGCGGAGAAAGGGGAACCCTCTGGCAAACTGGTGCAGCCACTCTGGAAAATAGTAGGAAGGTTCCTCCAAAAACTGAAATAGAACTACCCTAGACCCAGCAATTTCACTACTAGGTGTTTATCCAAGGGATACAGGTGTGCTGCTTCGAAGGGACACATGCACCCCCATGTTTATAGCAGCCCTATCGACAATAGCCAAAGGAAGGAAAGAGCCCAAATGTCCATCGACGGATGAATGGATCGAGAAGATGTGGGATATACACACAATGGAGTATTACTCGGCAACCGAAAAGAATGAAATCTTGCCAATTGCAACTATGTGGATGGAACTGGAGGGTATTATGCTAAGTGAAATCAGTCAGAGAAAAACAAATATCATATGACTCATACGAGGAATTTAAGATACAAAACAGATGAACATAAGGGAAGAG